GAATTTACCGAGAGGGTCTCTATAAGGACGTCTACTCTCCTACCTGGACTCCCACACAGTCGACACCATGGAAACGTCTTTTCTCAAATCGATTATACACCGAATCGCCGCGAAGAGGGAGAACGAAGATGTCGCAACAGAAAGATAAAATAATGAAAAAGAACAAATCGATTTCATATATTCCGGTCCTGTGTTTTAGAGTAGGAAAAGTCCTGAACCACGAATGTATTGCCACGAAGAAAGTCTGATCATTTGTGCTTTTGTGGTAGGTATTAAGTGTAGCTCATCACTTTTGTCAAGTCTTAATTAGCAGTATGTTTGTGGGTTCTAGACAAAAATTGACAATCAGTCCTGACCACCACTCACATACGACTATAGATAAAAAATTTGACAAAGGACAATACACACCTTTCTTACAACAATCTTTTATACAGAAATTTCTCAAAAGAGGATACTCTGTTCTTTAGGGTCAAAATCAACGTGAATGGTATGTTTGTCGAAAGATCAACCTGTATCAGGTAGTTTATAAGACTTTCCACAATGGCCTCCCACAAACAAGTCCATATAATAATTTGTAGGACCAAATATAGTTTACATAAGTATGTTGTTGTACAGTTAACATACGATAGCCCGTTCAATAAAAGATTAACCATATGACATCTCATTATGTTTTGTCGCTTTATTTTAAGGGAAACATTTGGTACAAAATGATATTAGGTAGTTTAATTAATTGTTTATTATAAACATAGCGGTTATAACCTGTAAAGAACAACAAACTTAGATACGTTTGTTGCGTGTATAAGCATTCCTCAAAGGACAAACGTATAAACTATGGTTCGTTAAAGTCTGTCGAAAGTTTTGTTTTTATTAAGACAAAGAATCTTCTTTCATTAGTCGTCAATCTTCAAAATGTGTTTATAAAATGAGTTTTGAATTTTTTGAAACTAAGAAGGAATTTTTAGATGATAAAGTGGTCGACACCCCAGAAGTCGCAATTACAGTAGTGGTAATAAGGAAGTCATGTTTCCCTTAAGTACGTTGGAATCTGTAACCAGGTGAAAGAGCCTACGAAAACGGAAAGAGAGTGGTAATTCGTAATATGCGCCTCTCCCCTCCGCACGCTATCTGTGAAGGGAAGAGGACCGACTTCTTTCCTCCCCTCCTCACGCCCGCTTTCCACCTTCCAAGCTCCTACTTCCTCTCGCCTCACTTTTTTCCTACTCGCTCCAACCTCTTCGGCGTCGCACCTCCTCCACCACACACCCCACACGTCACCTGCTCCACCCCCAGCCCCGCGTCTCGCCTTACTCACACTTCTCTCCTTCTTTACCATCCTTGACCCATTGATTTAGCGTTTTTCGGAAACCGTTGTTCTACTCCGCTCCTCCCGAATAATAAAACAAATGAAAACCTGTAACTAATGTGAAACCCTAGTAAACACCCTCTGGCGTCCAAACACCTCAACCCAGCCACAAACCCACCCCACCACAAGCCACATGACCACACTCCCCGGTTGCCGTCCCCTCTTTCCTTATTGTCTCTTCGCTCGTCCAATCAACCCCCACCACTCAATCGCTCCAATACATTCCTCAACACATACCAACACAGGCAAGGGCGCCAAGTCCTCGGAGACACGAAATTCCCTAATTCTCCCACTTTCTTCGTCCTTGTACTAACCATCTATACCTGTCCTGATTCCGCTATCCTTCTTTCGTTCATCTTCGACCTTCTCCGCCATGTTCCCTCTCCCGTTGCCGTAAGTTGTTCAGACTTTTATACAGCCAAACCGTTCTCTCGTACCGCCACATCACTCAAAGTAAGGAAACAAACCACACTACGAGATTTATTTCCATATTCCCAGTACTTCCTAGCACACCCAACCATATAAAATAAGTTCTAACTTGACCGCTGTATCGGTGGTAGAATTATGAACTTCTTTACGATGTTTCATATAGTCCTCTAATAGTTTCACATTCCTGGTGGAAGTGTCATCTGTCTGGTTTCCCCAATTTCAGCATTTCTTGTTCTCTCTTTCGTACCTTTGATCTTACCTCTCCCTACCTCCCCCGACGCATTGCTTTGTATGTCGGGGGCGGGAGATTCATGTGATTGTATTTTGGTCGCGTTGCTCGCAAAAAATCGCCAAGCTTCAGACACGCCCAGCTTCAAGATTTTTTTCATGCCTGTGTGTGGACGGGTCGTGTGTGTGTACGGGCCGTAACACATTTCCCAAGCCTACATGAAAGCTTACAGGAAAGGGAAAACCCCCAAAAGTCTGATAGCAAATGAATAATACATTTGATGTGTGAATTAAATATGGCATGCAGGATTTGTTCTCTATGGAAAGGGTGAAAGATAATTGGACCCTGAAAATGATCTGGTACGTTATAATAGAGCTTTTCAAAAACAATCAACACCAAGGAGTTCATAGCAGAGAAAAGCAATAATTTTTATAAATTCTTCGACGAGAGCCGGGTAAATGATTAGTCAGCTGATGGATGATTGATGCCGCAACTCAAATCTGAATCTGCTGATGGATTAATGTTGCTCTGCATCCTGAATGCTGCTGCAATCCATAATCACTTTCCTTGCAGCAAAAAAAGTTAAGAAGGTGTTAGGCAGCCACTACATTTGAAGGTCAATTTGCTGCTTTATTGTTACACAACCTTTTGAGTATTACATCCAAAGCTCATCCTGGTGTGCGGCCAAGTTTCAGAGTTTCAAAAGCACAGTGCAGCTAATCCAGCAAGCACAGATAATACCACTTTCAACTCATACACACTACAACCTCTGTTATCTTGATGTTGTTCTTCCAGGTAAACAGTGAAACACCATTTAGCGTCCTGCTCTTTGCCCTCTCTCTTCCTCCGCTCCCCTGCCAGCATCATGTCCGCCCCGGGCGCAGCATGTGGTCGGCAGCTGGCATTATGCTGACATTTTCTGTACAGTGCATCTCAGCCAGAGAGAGTCAGACCTCCCAGTCTGTGACAGCCACCCTGAGAGCAAGGCATTAAACTGTGAAAAAACTACAGCCCTTTGTGTTGAATCTATGACAACACCAGAGATAATCCATTTGGTTGAAAACTGTATTTCGCCATGGCACAGAAAGATAATCAGTATTGACTGATATAAAGTGATGTTCCATGCTTCAAAAACTCTTTATTTTTCTCATACTGCCTGTGCTGCAGCACCTCTTTTCACCCTCTGTCGGAAACCAGAGCCCAGGCTGCTCTGATTGGTTAGCTGACCGGCTCTGTTGTGATTGGTCAACGGCTTAGAGATGTCCCGCCCCTTAGCCTATCATGTACAACATGTTGGAGCGCTAGCCAAAAGAAGCGTGTCTGTTACATAGTGATGTCAGTATGTTCACGGATGTATGGTTCCATCTGGAGGACAATTTACATGCACAAAGACTATAAAACCCTAAAAATAATAGGGCCTATTTAAACATTATAAATCCCTTAGACGTATTAACTATAAATAATAAATTGTGCCTTCTAGTTTTTTTCAATCAAAAAGCAAAGCAAATCCACATCCAATTTTTCTAACTGATGGAAAAAGCAGAGACGAACGTTTCCCACTTCCCAGCTTTCTCGTATGCACATCTGCACAGAAAGGTCAAACATACATGAGCAATTTTAAGGGTAGGATTGCCTTGCAAAATGTCAATCAAGTCAGGGCTGTCAAAGTCAAATAGAAAAACAGAAACATTTCCACTGTGCGCTGTACGGCAGGTATAGGCCTACTGTGGAGAAGGTAGAGTTGCAGCTTCTAAAAACTCTTAAGAAAATCTACTTTCAGTTTGTAAACACGAGGACTCTTATTTAGTGGATGTAGCGCTCCGAAGGATCTGGAGAGATTTGTAGCATTTTCGAGGAGACCATCAAGAGTTATTTAAGGATGCAGTTTAAAGGGAGTGCTGACAACTTATCAAACACTAGCTCAAGCAAGACTGGAGAGCGTGTCAAATTTAAAGTCAATGTCCTGATAGGATCTCAAGTTTTAATGAGGTTAGACTATAGCACGCTTTTTGTGCACAAGTCAATTATTACAAACAGATCAAATGTATTTTAAAGGACCTTGAAAATAATGCCTCCAGTGATTATAATGTCATGAAAAAAGGCTGTTATCATTTCTCTTTCCTTATATAATCGTGTTCTAAAAACAGGTACAGAAAACAGGATATTTTCACACATACAGAATATCCTTCCTGTCTGTTCAATGCTTTTTTTTCTAACCGAAGCATTGCATGTTTTTGGACGGTGTGCAAAACATCCCGGTGAAGGTCATCCTCCCTAATCTGGCTAAAGCTCATGTCTTTAGGGAACTGGATGTTTTTTATCCGATTTAGTGGCTGATCTGAGCCCTCAAGGGACTCTGAGCAACACGCAGCAGGGTCTAATATAGAGCTACTATCTTTTCTAGGAATTAACACATTTGGGTTTATGCAAAGAATGTTACCTCATCCCAGAAAACAATGCTGTATAAATCTGCTTACGGGTTGAATTAACAAAGAAATCGGTCTAGCATTCAGTGCTGTGTCATAACCTAAACGCAGAACATGCACACTTCAAAATCTTACTTTTTCTTCCTTGCCATTTTATAACAAGACCAACGATCCAATATATTTCTTATACATCTGCGAAATACATAAATTACCTGGACTTTGGAAGGTTTAGTTTACTACAGCATCTGGATTAAGATCACCCACAGCATGTGCTTTGGAATATATCGATTTGTATTAGTCTTGAAACATTGTGATCCTGCTATTAAACCCTATATTATAATTGTACCAGTAATCCGATTAGTTTTTTTTTCATGCATCCTGATTTGCAGTAACATGTAACCCGTTTCTCCCCAAGCCTGATGCTTACACAACATTTCTCCTTTTTTTTTTTACTCTGAGATGTTTTTATTTCGTTATAGTATATTTGTTTAGTCTATGTAATTAGTACTGTTTGTTTATATTGAGAGAAAAAGCATTATGAGTAGTGAAGAGTCTACTCACCCAGTCCTAAGCAAGATACTCGGAGTCCTGATTTTCCAAGGTTCCTGTAAAGACAGAAAAAAAGGAATTAAATCTCTTGTACACCGAAAATCAAACAAGCGCCTTACACAAAATAAGATCCAGACATTACATCAGTGAAACCCTGAGTGACTTGTGGAACATATGCACCAATGCTTAGCCTGCTCCATAGAGCTTCCACTCTGCTCTTGTTTTGTGTTGGTTCTTCCTGATAAAGTGCTATTACTTTGCATAGCGTCGCCAGCTTTATCAACCTTAATTTGCCAAAGAAACTGTTCATTAGCTTTTTAGTGAACTAAACTGAATTAAGCTGGAGCCTTGAGAAGTTGCTTGGCTGAATGAAAGCAAACTACTTACGCTTACTAACGTTAGTGAGTATGCAAAGTAGATATAATGTTTGGTAGTTAGCTTGTTAGCTTTGTTTGCTAGTTAGGTAGCACATTTTACAGGTTAATTTATTTTTTGTCTCCAGGTTAACTTGTTTTTATACATTTCCACACTGTTGACCTTCGTCCAACCTTCTGGCAGTGAGAGTTATTTTAATCTGTCCACATGAGCTTTAGTATGGTGTCCAGCCGGCCGGTGTGTTTCAGTACTTTTTGTCATTCCTCATAGCGGAGATTACAGGCCATTTTTGTGCTAAACCGGAAGAACTAACACATGCATTTGAATCAAAAGAATAAGAATCATCCATTAATCTAACTTCACCTAAATAATAACCAAAAGTTGTATTTTGTTGGACATATCACTCTGTGAAAACTGTTGAAGAGAATGAGAGATGAGTAAATAACAAGCAGGCGTTTCATTTTTACAAAAGACAGGAAGCTTCAGAAATTCAGTTTGACATTTTTTCTGATTTCTCTGATGAAAGGAAATTGAATTTCCAGGACCTCTAGGTAGATGACTCTCTTCCACAATGTGTAATTGGGTTCATGAAATGAAATGGTTATGATAGGCCGTTTAATTAGTTTCTTTCCAGTGTGCCGGGAGAACAAACAGCAAATAACAGAATGACAGACAGAGACGAGAGGAAGAGACACTAATGAGAAACCATCAACACTGAACACACAAGATGAAAAGTTAATCAAAACGGTGTATGCAGTACTGGAACATATTCATAGTCAAATAAATATACATTTGTTTACACGAAGCTGGAGAGAGAAGTGAGTTTGTAAGTGTGTGTGTACTACAGATACTGAATGCATTTCATTAGCTTCCTAATAGCCTCATTAGCTGTCTCATTAGCAAACACAAAACCAGTGATGGGAGGAAAAATGTAACACTGTCATAAAAAAAATGTAATCAGTAACCCTAATGTAAGTATCAAAATATAAAAGAAATGTAATCTGATTACTTTATGTTGCTTTTGGATAACCTCAAATCCAAGAGAAAGTACAAATCAACAAGATATTTAGGATAAAAAATGTGTCCTCTGCTCAGAGATGATACTTATAGGAAAACTTGCCTTTCATTGAGCACATTCAGCCAGTAGCCTAAACACTAACACCAAAACAATTACACATACAGTTTGAAAAAGCTGACAGAAAATGCTCCGTTCAGTTTAGTACACACAGTTAAGCTCACACACACTATTTTATCAACATACAGGTTCACCAATTGAATTAAAAAATAACAAATGAACCAAAGAAAGTGAAAAGAACCAAAAGAAAGTGAAAAAGTGAAAACCATAAAGCAGATTCAGGCAGTAGGCGTATAGATTCACACTTGGAGTATTAGCCCACAGAACAGTACAGTTTACAGAGAAGAAATACAATCTGATTCTTTTACAACAAGCACTATCTGCCCTTTTTCGTTTTTTACTCACATTGTGACACACACCCCCCCCCACACACACACACACACAAAAACAGGCTCCCTAGTTTTGAGCAGGTGCACAGCTATGAGCACGGCTCCTATTCATCAGCATGAAGGCAGTACAGGTGGCACAGCTCATAATTTGTTGTGTCGGCACTTTTGCCACTTGCAAAGGGACCTTTTTTAGAGAGGAAACCCGAGAATTGATCTGAAATGAAAAATGCATGTCATCGTTTTTGTTCTGAAAACTTGTTATTTTTAGTCGTACTCTAAGAAGTGGAGACTATAGGCAAAACTTTAGTGGAATACAAGTTGGAGATAAACTTATACCAAACTTTTGTAGTTAAAGTTTCTTGTTCTGTTTCCAAAGAGCCCCAGATTTATTCCTAAAACATTGGTGCATTATTACCCCCCAACAATTAGGTCCTACTTCTTTTTATGACCACTATTCCTTAACCTCAGTGAGAAACGTCATGGGGTTAAGGAAAGAAGTGAAGGATAATTCCTTGGGACTTAACATAAGAGACTGCACTGACACTGGGCGACATCATTATTACAATTCTCCATACAAAACATTACTATTACAAACCCCTGCAGAAAAGGATCATTCTCAAGGTAAAACAATTGAAATCGCTTTAAAGCCTATACACACGTCATTATAAAGCAGTGTTAGTCCTCACATCATCGATAATATTAGGATTTACAAACTCAGGTTGGTTCATTTATGAAAAGAGAACATTACTCACTGCTGTCAGTCATATTTCATTTTCTTCCCACCTGTCAAAACTGCTTTAGTTCTGCATCACTGACGCGTCAACTCTGGTTAATCAGGCAGAACAAAAATCAAGCCACCCACAGAAAATGCATTTTCAGAGTCACACTCATTAAATCTGCTGTTACCTAAAAAATATCCACTCAGGAAACTGGAGGTGAACAACAAGTCTGAGTTGCTTTGCTCAGCGGGACCCAGAAAATAATATTTATGAATATGGATTAAGCATCTTCCTGCATATGTGCCTAATCCCATGAAAATCGTCTGCCTCCTTCTGTTATTTCTAAAATATTTAACAGTAATGTTGATCAATGTGCCCTGAGTAAATAAAAATGCATGTTGAATGTGCATGCATCTCCCGTGTTTAAATGTATGTCCAGTATGTTTTTGCTCCTCAGTGGAACAGAACGAGCAGTATAACAGTATTGAATATAAGATACTCTCTGGGGGATCCTCTCTTTTTGCTCACAGTACGTTCCTTTTATTACATCAGTCAACGTAAGTCGCATAACTCTCCTCAGTTGGCTCGGATACTGCTGAACGTGCACAAAGCATCCCTTCGTTCAGCTCTCACGGGCACAGACTGAGAGACGGGTGAAAGAGCGGCAGTGAAGAGGATAATAGATGAGATTGAGGGAACGATGCAGAGAACAAGAAAATAAGATTCAGCCACTTGGGAGACGGATTAAGAAAGTGATCTTCTCCTTTCAAATGGCTCTTCATAGATATGCACACACACAATCAAATGTACTCGTTAGATCAAGAGAAAAGTCGGAGCCAGCAGATTTTCTGGCTGTAACTGTGGGGGTCCGAGAGCTGGAGTGTGTGTGTGGGACAGAATCAATAAATCCTAACAGAACCAGAAGCGCTTCGATTAATTCACTAAATGACTGCCTAATACTCTTTGCCACACACACACACACACACACACACACACACACACACACACACACACACACACACACACACACACACACACACACACACACACACACACACACACAAATATCAATCAAATATTTATTGAAATATGAATCCCCCGTAGCCGCTTCTCCAAACAGATCTACAATAACAAGGCTTCCACATCAATGAGGCTATTCATCTCCACTTAAACACTTCTCCTTAGCCTGATGATGGACAGTAATGACTTTCTCTAATACCCCCGGTGCTGTGGCAGTATTATCCCCTGTAACCAGAGACCTGTCAATGATTACCTTCTCCACTTTACAGAAGTATTGAGACGAGCTGATAGTATGAGAACTTATGAAATAGGGTTTTTCTAGGGCTGTGATTAACCTGGAAACCTTCAAGCATAAAAAAGACAAATGAATGCAAATTAATCACATTACCAAGTTTGACCCAAATGTGCTCCTGTACCACCAGCACAGAGGTTTACCATGAAAAGCCAAAGAAAGAGGAGGAATCAGCACAAGAGACATGTGTTACACTGACTGGAGACCACTGGACATCAGAAAGAACCACCTCCATCTTTTACTAGACAATTAAGAGTAATTGGGAAAAAGTGACAAAGCATTTAAATGTGGTTTTTAATGTAGAGAGTTTAGGCAAATGTTTATTCACCTAATCATGAGATTAATTACTTAAAATGTTCATTAAGCCACTTTACAAGACTTCAGTATACTGTGTGTTTATAACCTTCAGTTAACTGAATCATACTCTGGACATATTTTACAAATTGGACTGTTGGATAAAACTTGAAAAAAATGAAAGTGAGAATTTCTTGGTTATATCGAAATTGTTATCATAAAGACATTTATTTCATGTTTCCCTGAAAAAAAGATATTCCATATTTATTTATTTTACAATCCGTTTGATACGTTTTGATTTTATTTATGACTTTGAAGCACTCTTTAAGACTTCAAAATAATGCTATATAATATACGTACGTACTTACGGTAATGGTTCATCTTTTTTTTTTGGACGAAAGCTCACAGTTATAATTGACGATACTTGGCTGCCTTTGTAAGTTATTATTGATCACTGTTACACAGTTATTATTTCACCTTTAATGACTGTGGCTCTCCTCCTGGTTGTGACACATTTGGAAATGAACCCCAAATTGCTGTTTATGATACGGAAAAAATAATTCTGAACCTCCAGAGACAATCTGACACACTTTTCCTGAGTGTGAAACAGTGTGTGTGTGTGTGTGTGTGTGTGTGTGTGTGTGTGTGTGTGTGTGTGTGTGTGTGTGTGTGTGTGTGTGTGTGTGTGTGTGTGTGTGTGTGTGTGTGTGAGAGTATGTGAGTGTGTGTGTGTGTGTGTGTGTGTG